GACCGAATGAATGCACTACTTCAATCCTCAAATCATCAGAATATCCCGAGTTCCTCTAAACCTCAAGAAGGATGCAACAAACCTGGTCAAGACATGACTTTGTCACGAGTTGGCAACTGCGTCGGCCCAGAAATCAACTTCCGACATCAGGCTGGCTAAAAGGCTACAGGAGCGCCCGCCTGCTCTGTGCGTTGATTCCTAAAACCCTCAGCCTTTGCCCCCCCCTCAAAGTGCTCTGCGAGCTTCAACCTTCAGCTCCATTAGCTCCCTCGTTCAATGAACACTTCGGCTTCTGTGTACTTACCAAGGGACACAGAGCAGCCGCCACAGACAGCCTTCGTCAGACTGAAGTAGAAGAACTTGGGGACAGTTTCGTTCATGGTCACAGGTCCGTACAGATTTATGTCCACATGCCCTGAGCGACCACCCGGGGAGAAGTTGAGCTCGCCCGACTGCTGTACGTAGTCAACCCAGTTCTTTGCAGTGCCATCGTGTGTTTCGTACCAAACGGTCACAGTGCCAGAGTCAATGTCGCCAGCCCTGATTATTTCCACTCGAGCAAAGCCGAGAGCACGAAGAACGTAAATCTCCGAACCGGCCAAGGTCATAGAGCAGTTGCCCTCACTGGATGTCCTGGTTCTCTTCAGGTCATCGACTGAGGCCTGTAGCAAAGGGGCCTCATCCGAAACATCCTCCTGCACACTTTGGGCCACCTGGCAGTGCTCGGAAAGCACAGGAAGGGGTGCCAGGAACAGCACCGAGGGGAGCACCCATCCTACGAGGCGCTGCATTGGCGCCTTAGTTCGCTCCCCCACTTCGCTTTCCGATATCCTCTCCTTGGCCCCTCTTGAGCCTATCAGCTTCAATGATCGCCACAGGCTTTCAGAAGAAGATCTGACAGGATTCGCTCTCAACTTAACTTGTTCTGGATACCTGTGGCCCCCGATTCAAGTCGCAGGCCTTGCTGTACCTATTCGCCAACCTTCACGCGGCTTCCCTACGACCGGGCTATCGGCGAGCCCTTGAGTCGCCATCAAAATCCGAGAAAAGCCTAGATTCGATGGCAGGTCGTAGTT